ATATATTAAAATCATGTTAACAGAAGTATATTTTTTCAGATTTGAAGAAAATGGGAGAATTTACAGTAGAAAGTATTTCAAAGGACATATTTTAGCTTTTCATTGTATAATAGAGGGAGGTAAACAGCGGAAAGAACAGAACCGTTGGTGTTGATCTGGTCAACAGGTATAATGTCCTAAAAATAAAAGGAATACCAAACCCTCACATTTGTTTTACTATAAAGGCCTCCCTGGGATCCAATTACTGATGCAACAATATACCGGTGGACTGAATAGAAATGCGTATCCTGTATGTATGAACTCATCCCGATTAGGCTGAGCAGAGGGCCCACTCTCCATCCCTCCCTGAGGGGCAGGGCAGGGCGACGCTGTGGCTCCTAGGGGAGAAAAGCTGGACACAAGGAGCTGTGAGAACTTCCTCACCCATCGTTAAACAGCGCAGGAGAGTCAACCACTCCAGCTAATTAACCTCACTAATCCATTTATCTTTACTTTTTTCTTTTTGTTGTCTAGAAATCTGCAACAACCTAGAACAGCACTACTAGTTAGCCAGAGAAAGAATAAATATTTACATTGATTGTGTAAAGGTTCTTTAAAACAATGTCTACAAGAAATAAAAACCAAGAAAGTAGAAATGCTACCTCCTCTTTAGAATAAGCTCATGCAGAGTGTGTGAAACCATTTGATGCTAAAGTTTGTTCAGTAACAGCAGCAATAGTTCAGACTAAATATCAAATATAGAAAGGTCTTTAAATTGAATCTGTAATTAACACGTTTTACAACGATAGTTAAGCTCTGTTGGATTTTAACCTTACCTAGAAGCTTTAATAAAACAAAAACAAAGGGAATATCTGTTTTTTTTTCCTAACTCAGCATTTAGGCTTAGTTCAAACACCGAGCTAGAGACGGCATCTGAGGGTATCCACCAAAAGCACCCCTGCCCAATAAAACATCCCACCACCACCCAATCACACGGTAAGCTCTGCACCTCCGCAGCTCATACTCACCTTCCCTCTGGTTATAAATGATGTTTTTGCAAAGAAGATCATTGTGGCAGAGAACTACTGGAGAGTCCAGCAAAGACAAACTCTGCTGGAGCCACAGCAGCTCCTTCCGGAGGGCCTGTGGGCTGGGAACCTCCAAGCTCAACCTAGAGGGGGGAAAAAAAGGTACTTATGTACAGGCCCAAAAGTCAGAAGAAGTTAAACTGTTGGACACGCTAAAGGGGGGTAGAAGCTATGTAGCTGTAGGTCGCCATTACAGAATTAATTAATCTTCCGTTAATTTCATAAAGGAGGAGGAAAATAACATAAGGATGACAGCAGCAAGTTTTATTAAGGATGCAAAAACTGTCTGCAACAGGACCATGGTAAGGATGGAGCCTGCATTAGCTTTGTGGATTAATGACTGCAGAAAGAAAAACAACATTATGCTGGATATGAACATCTGCACAAAAGCTAGAACACTGTATCAAACTGACAGTGATGACATTTATGAAAGGGAAGAGTAGGATGCAGATACCAGGCCATCAACAAGGGCTGTTCATGCAGCAAAAAGTGCATTTAATGCCAGCAAGGCCTGAACTGAAAAACGCAACTAATGCTTTGGACTTACAAATGTTTCAGACCGTCTCAAAGTACCACTGGAGCAAAAGCGTGAACAATAAATTTAAAGTGATAATTGAGGAATAAAAAATAAAAGCTTGAACTTGTTTTTCATAATAAGGGTTACTACTTTGCAGATTTTGCCAATCATGGGATATTTTTGAACCATTTTCCCCATGTCTGCAGCTTAGTCTTTCCTCTGTAATTAACAGCTAGCTAAACCTGTTTGCTGTTTTTCTTCCAACTTGACAATCGACAACTTAATGCATATCTATCCCTAAAAACTAACTTGATTTCATGTTTGAATACTTTAAATATTTTGAAACAAGGCTCCAGAGGGAATAATGAAAAGGGCTTTTAGAATAACCGAGTCGAGAACTCACCCATCATGCTCCTTAAAGCACTTGGAAATGAGGGCAAAGTATTTGCCCATCTTGAGCCACATGTCAGAGCGAGGTACCCAGCCGTTATGGGCATGGATGGCATGGTACTTGGCCAGCTGCCTCGCAATAAGCCTGCAACACAGAAGTGAAAATCCAAAGGTTTGAACTTGAGTGCATAAAACACCAAATCTGTAAAGATGTCTTTGTAAACAAATACCACATAAAACATACGGATAGTCACTTTAAAACTGCTTATAGATGTTCAAATATAGATTGGAGTTTGAAATATAACTTTTAATGTGCTGATTGATCAAAGAAAGATTTGCATTTCCTTTGCTCCATTACAGACTATAAAATAAAAATCACCGGCATTTTTAATCCAATGCATGGTTTTTACACAAACTAACAACATTGGCCGTGTGATGTAAACTTATAACAACAGGTACTCACTATGGTGCATGCAGGCCAAACATTTGTAACTGCATCAGAAATGTAGGTTGTGAAAACACTGTCCCATTCAGAAAAAGATTACATGAACAGATGATCTCTGGTCGTCTTCTATAAAAATACATCAGTAAGTGTCTTGTTTAAAGGTGCAGTAGGAGATCTTTTCTAACGCATTTTTTACCATGTGGCTTAAAGATCTCCTCACAGCTGCTTAGCAAGCAGTGAAATAGAAGGTCTGGAAGTGGAACTAAAATAAATGGTCCTCGCTACAGTGACAAATCAATGAATACGAATATGAACACGACTGGTTCCTGAAACATCAATCATGTCCCTCCCCCCCTGTGCGTGTACCCTGACACATGAACGAATCCACCCCCCAATGTTCGTACAGGACGCCATGGCTGGAAGCTAGCCCCTTTTATGCTACGTTCACACCTAAAGCAGCGAGAGTAGCAAAAACGCACATGCCGCTTCAATTTTGATGCTTGTACAAGTTTGATGCACGTTGGGCGGAGCTACCCTATCCTTTTTTTTTTTGCCTGTAACAATGGCAGCTATATATGCTTTGATCAGTGGGTAAAAAGTAGATTGATTCTACTTGATGTGAAGTCCACCTGAAAAACATCGTCAGTGCAGTACTACTCCCAGCTTGTTCTCTTCTCTTACCTAAAAACAGGTTGGCTGCGTATGTGTTCAGGGTCCAAGGCAGTGCCTTGCAGGAATTCATAGCACAGGCCATTGTTGAAGGTGCAGTAAAGACGTGGGGCACAGCGGTGTGCTTGGAGCACTCTGAAACTTTTAACCTCGTTCTCCCGGTCGACCAACAGCTCAGTTTTGTTGCCGTAAATACGGACCAGGACCACATCTTGCATGACTGCGCCCACGTAACAGCCGAGCAGCTTGTTGGTTATTCCATCAGTGAAAAACTGCAGAAAGGAAGACAAGAACAGAGAGGCTGTGAACAAGGGGATACTTCAGAAAACTATGAGGGTAAAACGTCAAACCAAAACTGTCCAAAGAGCTGCAGCAGATTTCAGGAACTTTAATTTTCTTGTACATTGTGACACCAAAATAAAAACAATTTAAAGGCTGTTTGCTTGATTTATTTTAAGCAAACTATCATTTCTAAGCCGTGGCATAAAAACCGTGTTGCTTTTGGTGAGCTATCAGCAGAGGAAAAAACTGAGCTACATTCTATTTAAAAAAAATATATAAATGAAATTCATGTAAAGGTATGTTTATTGTATTTGTAACTAGAAGAGTAACAAATTGATCTGCTGCAGCTTTAAACATGCCATCATAATTTTTTGTAGATTCTACTTTAGCCATCCTAGAATTGTACTTCTTTTAATCATTTCATTACATTCAGAGCGATTGTTTCACTCGGAAAAAAAAAAGTTTTAAATGTGAAGCATCAAATTAGAAACTGGTAAACTAACATCTAATAATGCTTATTATTAAAATGGGGGGGGATATTTAGACATTTTTTGATATAGTGACAACTAAATCTAGGGCTGCACCTAATGAGTATTTTGCAAATCGATTAAGCTGTTGATTATTTTTTGAATAATCAATTAATAATCAGGCAACCAATGGTTCCATAAAGATTTTTTTATGAAAGTAAATCCAAGGAAATTAAAGCTTTTCCACTTGAGGAGTTCTGGATTGGGCATATTGACAGATGAAAACATTTTTTTCATCTTAAATGCGAAATGTTTATATATTCTTTTACAATTTTGATATTAATTACAGCTCTAAATGGGTCGCTCCGTCAGCTAAAGGGATATTTTACAGTCTCTATACTCTAGTTAATGATTAATCGATTACTAAATTGGTTGATGATTATTCTGATTGTTTCAGCTCCAACTAAATGCCTGACTTTTCCCTGCATTGAGCTGATTGAAATTGGCATTTCATTATTTAACACAAGTGGTAGAAAAAAGCCAAATGAATAAATGGTTGCAAGGATAAAAACATACCGGTACCCTGTCCTTTAAGGGTTGAAATATTACATAAGATCAGATGGGGAGGATCTGGTAAACATTAATAAAGCGAAGCACAATTAAGTAACTCTTTGACTATGGCTTATCTGAAATGACCGATCAGCACAATTTAACTGGAAATTTACTATAGGGGGACAGCCGCCTAATTATCCCTCCTGACTGTTTACTATGTCTAGGACTGACGAAGAATGACAGGATTGTGTGGAATTTTATTTTTCCACGCCAAAGGAATGAGAGGTATTTGCTGAACCCCCGACTTTTCCTCATAGATTAACGCAGGCAAAATCAGCATATACGTGATCTTCATCCTGGCTGTGTTTACAAAGCTGAGCCACACCTCCTGGTCGTCACGTGAGAGGAAAAATTTGCTGGACTGCTAGTACGTCTGAGTGTGACTCACAGCAGTTATCTGCAGCAACATCCTGAACAGGTACTGTTTAACTTTGAGACATCAGCCAACTTAACAGGAATAGATTAAGTTAATTATGCAAACCGTGTAAGCAAATGCTCTAGGTCAGCTCACACGGCCGTCGACATTACATCCGGAAGTTTCCAAATTCCTGGAAAGAAATGTGTGGAAACTTCTAGAAGTTAACATTTTTAGAATCCATCAGATCTCTTAAGACTGGTATAGAACTGGCTTGTCGCCCTTTCTAACGCTACAAATCAATCATAGTGGTGATTTTAGATATTTGAGGGACCGTCCCTTGCAACTATGGATCAAAAAAGCCAATATCACCATTTCAAACAATACAGAAAGTCCTCTAACTCTAGCATAAAGTCTAATACATTTAAAGCTGGAGCGTAGTCTGGTAAACATTAATATTAAGTTTTATTACACTTCCAGCTATAGTTGTGAAATAAAAAAAAAAAAATTAAAATTGTGAATCTCTTCTAAAGCTTTCCAGGCCCTTATAACCATCCTAAAGGCTTAAAAACGACACATTTATAGCCCTGGTCTGAAAGTATCTGTTTGCTAAAATCTTTCTATACTACAACTTATATTATATAGATTTATTTATTTGACAGGGACAGTGTACATTAAAAAGCATTCCAGCAAATGCACCAGAATTAGCCAAAAGGCAATTTTTAATCTGTTCT